CTCGATCTCTTTCCTTCTCACTTACTCTCTCTCCCCTCAATCTCTCTCTTCCTTGCTCTATCTCTTTCCTCCTCTCTTCTTCCCTCTTTCTCTCTTCACTTTCTTCCTCTCTTTCTCTCTCTTCTATCTTATTCTCTTCTTCTCTTTTCTCTCTCTCATTCTCTCTTCTCCCTCTCTCTCTTATTATACTCTTTCTTCCATCTCCTATAAGCTCCTCCCTCTTTTCCTCTTGACTCTTTACTTCCTCAACTCTTATTCTATCTCGCCCACCATCATGATATCCCTCTCTAGAATACATAAATCATCTTCTAGAAATATTTTCATTTATTTATTTATTCATTTATTTACATAAGATTGTTTGTCGAGATGGCACCAGAAGGCCGTCAAATTGACAAATAATCTCTTGTCATCCCCACACCCCACCTTTTACATATATACCCATCTAATGACAAGTCAAGGTCTTTTGACCCACTTATATGGTAATCTTATGCATGTGTGTTCGTGAGCCGCAGAGTCTCAGCAAAGGAGCTAGATCCGAACTATCCTTAGGCTAGGGGGCTTTCCATCGTGATATAAGAGGGCGCCCGTAAAATGCTAGAGCATGTCACAAACCCATCGTGAGGTAGGTCCCACCTCACACCCCATATTAGTTGGTACCTGCCTGCACGTGCACCTCACACACTGTGATTTTCGATAAAGCGATCTCAAGCCGGACCCACACATCCAAGTCCCTGCATGGTCATACAACCTGACGAGATCGAGGCCCAACTAGACTTAATGATGAGAGAGTCGGAGACTGCACTATTTCAGGCTAAATGGGTTTATCAGCAGGGGTTGCCTCTGTTTCTACTATGGGAGGAGGAACACTCTCTAATCGACGACTAAAGCTGAAGGAATTCTGACTCGATGAACTTGGCTGAGTTGTGACAATTGCAAGAATTGTCTCTAGAACATGAATTGTTACCTCTGATGGTAGAGTCAGGCTAGGTGAAGGCTTCGTCTTTGCATGTTTCTTTGGCTTAGGAGGTAAATCAACTCATTCACTTGAAATAGACGGAACCAAAGGGGACGCATTTGGGCTTGGCAAAACCCTTTTACTCAAACTGGTGCTTTTTCTAGGAGCCTTAGGTTCTACAGTGGAACTGGGTTCGGAACTCTCTGTGTCCCTCTTCTTCATTGCCCATTTCTTCTTGACCCCTTTCTCTAGAGTTGCCTCATCTCCTAACTTTGAAGGAGCATTCTTGTTCTTTTAACCCTGATGATATTTTGCTACCGAAGCAGAATGAGACCCACTCCCTATCAAAGCATTAAGGTCTTGAACAGGACGACCTTCATAACCAGGCACTGCACGGCCCTTGGTCCACTTGAAGATTGAACAAAGTTCATCAAATAAAGACCTAGTTTCACCTTCAAGGGAGAGACACTGGATGCCGGTATGGTCCGTGGCTAGAGATCGAGGTACACCAAGTCCTTTTCAGTTCAAGGGGGTGATCAATTTCATGAACTTTGATGAAGCTTGGAGGCAGAAAATGTTTCCCATGCCTTATATCATGCTTAGTGCTATTGATGACCTTCCATGTATGGGTTGCCAGCTAATAAGAATGATTGGTAATGTTCCACCATTGCCAATAACCTTCAGTAGCATGGCCTACGCGACCATAATGAGGAATGCCAAACTTGCTCAAACAGTGAGAGCAAGGCAAGTTTCCCAAGCCATCCTCACATTGCTATCTGTCCAGGATTCACGGTTTCCACCTGGATCATCATGGTCTTGCTGAGACCGCTTCTTCTCATATTTCTTCTCAAAAAGCACTGAGAAGGAGCACCTTTGATCTAGGCCATGCTGACATGAAAACCTGTGGGGGAAAATAGCCCTCAAGTTTTTTGTCTCCGACATCTCTGTAAGGCAAGATGCATCCCCTAACACTTAGGAGATACATGGCTTCTTTAGTCTCAATGGTGTGCCCATCAAAGACATCACCAAAAGCATCCATGTAGACACAATCAATAAGGCCTCCTATAAGAAAGGGGCTCCCATGAGAAAAGAAAGAATTGTCCGCCAGGAATCGACGTGCCTCACCTACTCCTTTAAATATGGCCTTCATCTCAACAATCCTCGGCATTTGGGGGCAAGTATACCCCGAAAGATCTTTATTGATCTCATGTGCTCCAAGGGTATCAGGATCAGATTCCTTCTTAAGAAAGTATGCGAAAAGCCAGTTGAAGATATAATAAACAGGGAATCATGTTATGAAACGACCAAGAAGAACCTCCCCAATAAAAGACTCGCTCTTCCTATCTTTAGATGGCGCTTTTCCATGACCAGGAGAGATGTCCCCAGCAAAAGATTTGCTCTTGATATCCTTGGATGATGCTTTGCCATGAGCAATTGCCCCCAGACCATGATATATGCTACAAAGGACTGGTTGGGCCAGTGTCACACCCCTAGCTTACTAACATTCCTGAGGTGTGACATACTAATCTTAAGCACAAAATAAATTTGAGATTTATATATTGCTCCAAAATTAATTTTTTTCCATTCACAGACTTGTACAAAGTTTATTTCACAGCTTATACTAACACGAGGATATATATATACATAACATTGATAATACAAAAGTTACAAGAGTGAATTTATCCATTACAAACTTCTTCAAAGCTTTTCCTGCTACTCCTGCTGAATAGTAAGACTGCAATTACTTTGAAAAGAGTTCATAATAGTTTGATGAGTTTAACTACTCAGTGAGTGATCATCATAGTTCTAAAAATAATCATGGTTGGAAGATATCAACTTTTTCTAAAGAATGTCTATTAAAAACAACCTGAGGAAGAATTACGAGCCAAAAACATTTATGGATAACAATTTCTCTTTCAAAAAAATACAATTAAGCATAATCCAAAAGGTTGAAGTGCACACTTTAACAGAAATGCATCATTCAAAAGATTTAACAAAGTACCCTACTGGTGTCCCAAGTAGGTCAGTTATATACCCCGCCAGCGTCTTGATGGGTCCACTTAATCCCTACCGGCATCCCGGATAGGTCCACTTAATCCCTACAGATCCACTTATACCTCACTGATGTACCGGATGAGTCCACTTAATCCCTACCGACGTACTAGATAGGTCCACTTATACCTCACCGGCGAACCGAGTGAGTCCACTTAGTCCCTACCGACGTCTCGGATAGGTCCAGTTGTATACTTAAAGTATCTCTGAAACTCTTTAAACATCAGAAAGCAACAACACTATATATGTAAAGTACCATTGAAATCATTAACCGGAATTCACTTGAAACAATTTAAATAATCACTTTCATTGAAATATCTGTAAGTAACCAGCCAAACATTTTGGCAATAATTTATGAAAGATATCATTTCTTAAAGGACATTCCTGAAATGTAACATGATAAACAATCTATTATAAATAGAAGAGTTTTTTTTAAAGAAAATTTGAAGTTAAACACAAAAATATCACAATTTTATTAAAAGGATTATTTTCCAAGACAATGAGATCACTTACGCATAAAACTTATAAAATAAAGATAAATGGACTGAAATATCACTATTTTATTAAAAATAAACTACTTTCAAGAAAATAGGATCACTTACAAATAAAACTTATAAAATAAAGATGCTGGATGGAAACATCACTATTTTATTGAAAACAAACTACTTTTAGGAGGATGGGATCACTTTCTTTTATATGTCATGAGATAGTTATGTTGTTACTACTGTCATAGCAAAACTGAAATTACTGCCCTTTAGCTAAAGTATGAGAAAAGAGGCTAAATGAGTTTATATGGGATGAATGATTAATATATTCATATAAGAGTAAGAGAAATATTATTATTATTATTATTATGTGAAAATAATACTTCATGAAATTATTAATTATATTATTTCTATCAAAATACTATCATTTTAGAATAATGAGACTATCATTAAAATCATTGTTTTATCATAAGAGTATGATAATGAGAATATTATCAATCATTACTATGTCATGAGAATTTTATTAATCATCATATCATTATAAAAATATGAAAATGAAAATATTAATTATATAACGAATATTATTTTTTTTATAAGAATACTATCATATTATCATCATAATATTATCATGAAAGCTTTATAATGAGAACATGATTAAAAAGCACACTATCATTATGAGAATGTTATTAAAACATAATACTATTAAGAGACTATTAAGAGAGTATGATGGTGTAGAGAAAATAATTGAAATGAGAGTATCATAATTAGAATATGATGAGGGAGAAAAATGATTGATATAAGAGAGAGGGAGAGGGTATCATGATGAGATACTAATAGCAATACTTTTATATGAGAGTTGGAATATTATTACCATAATGGAATTATAAGAATATTATTAATAAGATATGATGAGGGAGAGAGAAATATGATTGAAATGAGAGTGGTAGAAGGCTTATGTAGAGAGAGAAGAAGCCCACTTTGAGATGAAGAGAGAGAGAAACCAATTTGGAGATTAGTTAAGGCCCAATGGTAAGTATATATAAGTGGAGAGATTTAGTGCCCAATTGACACATGTCCTCTATGTGTCTTATTTTATTTTATTTTATTTTAATTTTCAAGCCACCTCAAGTCTTTTTGTACCATCTTTCCTTCTTTTTGTGCCACCTCTCATTCCTTAATACTATTTCATGCCACCGCACACTAATGAGTGTGTAATGATGGACACCTCATTCATGTATTATTTTATTGTTTCTTGTAATCTTTTTGATGAAAAACTCGTTGTTAATTAAAAAGGGCAGTCCCATGATATACTTTTAACACAATGATCCATACTTTATATTTTTTTTTCAATTTTCATTATTTTTATTATATATAATATTTATTTGCTATTATTACCATCATTATTTATTATTGTTATTATTATTTTATTTTTATTTTTTTTCCATCAAAAAAAATTTTAGGGTCGTCACAGCCAAGGCATATTGATGCCCTTGAGCGAGCCTACAAGCTACAAAGACGCAGCATGGAAGAATATCATTACCCCTTGACTCTGGGAGTGTGAATTTGCACAAGACAAGAGTCAAGTATGCAGCTAAGTATACATGATCCTTCTCAAGCCTTCTAGAGGGGATTACAGGGTTCCTGGTCTCATCTTCTTTCTCTTCGACCATTGGCTCATCATCCTCCCAAAAAGCACTAGAGTTGGGTTCTCCTTTGTCTTGACGATTCCCATGAAAGAAGTCCCTCCATGCATTAAAATGCACTATCTTGGATTTGGTCTTAGTCTCTGAATGTAGAAGTTGATAAATTTCAAACAATTCATGCATATCTGGAGGAGGGGGTTCACCACTGATGGGCTGATTGTCAAAGATTACTTCATTGCTGGGTATGAATTCTTCATACATGGCCCCTAGCATGGGCAGTCCACCATTGAAGTACATATCGAGGAGGGTGATTCCTCCTTTGCCATGATCGCGATGCCAGCTGTTAGTCTTGTGGCACCAGGTTTCTAGTAGAGCACTGATGGTGCTTGAGCACCTATCTTAATAACCTACTAAGCACTATCATGTTGTAGCTAAGGCACATGCCTCTAAGTCCTTGGTATGAGATTGGAGGTCGTCAAATGTCCATGTGTTATACCCTGGCACGTACTGGTGCTCCCCCTCAAAGCGGAGTCCACCAGATGCCCAATGAAGACCCTTCTTCTTCAGCATCCTCTTTCCTAGAGTAGGGAGATCCTCATTTAAATCAAAATTCCAGTGAAAAGCATGGTACATGGGAATACTATCTCCCTGAATTACAGGCTGACCATTTGCATCTTTATAAGGGTAAAACCGAGCATCTTCACCTATGTAGGTGATACTCAAGGGCCACTCCAGCTTTCGAGTGATTTCGAGAACGCCAAGGGTCGTGGATCTTGTAAAAGCAGCACCTGTACATGCATCAGTTCCCAATTATCAAAACGTGGTAATTGGTTTACTTCAACAATATTGACTGCAAAAGAAGCAAGAAACAGAGGTGAGCAAATGAGCAAGTTGACAGTTGTGAATGATAAGGGTTTTCAAGTAAAAGAAGAGAATAAAGCACCAGGAATTTTGAAAACTTTTGATAGCATCTCCCCTATATGCAGAGGGTTGACAAAGAAGGTGTTTGGTTGGTCCAAAGCACCCAGGAGATTCTAAGAAATCACAAGTCTGTGTGTCAAATGCCCATCGCAAAAAGTGACCCTGAAGAGCTCACTTTTCTATCAAAGAAATACCCAAGAATGCTTCAAAATGAATAATGGGGCATGAAAATGCTTAGAAATGCATGAATATGCTTAAAAATGCATAATTATGCATAGAAGTGTACAAGAAATGCGTTATGGTTCATAACTATGCTTGACTATGCTTAATTACATCAGAAGATGCATGAAATTGCATAACAGTGCTCAAAAGTGCTAAAAAGAATTTTGGAATTCATAACTATGTAGTGGAGATGTGGACATGCCAAATTGCAATGCAAAAATGCACTTGAGATACCAGGAATGTGAGAAGATGCTACAGAAGATGCTTTAGATGCTAAGATATGCATTAAAGCATATGAGAAGGAGAAGAGTTGTATGAAAATGCTGCAAAGGTGCTTGCAATGCTAAAGCATGCATAAAGAAATATGAGAATATGAAAAGTTACATGAGAATATAAAGGTTCACCTATAGAAAATGTTTCAAGATGGTCATGGTGTTCACATGAATATACGTGACATTCAAAGTGCTTGAAAGAGCACATTTTGGGGAATACTCAAGAGATATGTTGTTAGAAGTAATCGATGAAGTGCATTCACAATACTTAGAAACTCTCACAAGGTTTAAGAGGATATCCATTATGTGCAACGGTGCTAAGGAAAATTTGTGGTATCAACGTGTGCCTGAAAGAGCTTAAAGAAGACGTTTGTGTAATTCAAAAGTATGGCTCATAACAAGCCTAAGCAATGATTGCGAAGATTCAATGTACTCATAAGTGCTTAAAGCAATTCTCGTGTGCATGATGCTTGAGTGTGAAGGCGATGCTCAAAGGCATTCGTGAAGCTCAAATACATTCACTGGACTTCAAAAGAATGATCATGATGCCTAAAAGAAAGCGTGTGACGATCAGCCATTATTCATGCAGTCCAAGGTGACATTCGTGACGACCGAGTGTGTCCGTGAGGCTCAAGAACGCTCGTGAGGGTCAAGTACGCTCATGAGGGTTCAAAAAGATAATCATGGAGCTGCCAAATGTTCATGGTTCATGATGGAATGAACTTATTTGTGATGGTCATGGCATTGAGTCACAATGAGCATAACCGATGGGTTCATTGTGCTCAACAAGGTTCTTGAAATCCTCAAGGAGTCGGTCACAGTATTGAATTATGATGAGCACGACCGAGAGGCCTGTGATGCCTAAGACGTGTCCATGATGCACGAAATTGATGCAAGATGCATTAGGGAAGGTTGAAATGATGCACAAAATTGATGCAAGATGCATTAGGGAAGGTTGAAATGATGCACAAAGATAAACGATGCACCAAGAATGATCAAAGAATGCTTAAAAAGACGATCAAGATATCAAGGTTACACTAAAAAGAGGTAGTCAAGCATTTGATCAAACATATGGTGTGCAAAGGAATGATAAGAAGAAATAGAAGAAAAATGGAACTATAAAAAAGGCATTGGAAAGTAAAAATAAAAGAAAGGAGATGATTACCTTAGGGGTCAGAAGAGCTAGCCATGGCCCCAAGAATGTCCTTTTGAAAGTCACTTTTTGAGGGTCTCTGTCTCACTTTCTCTTCGAAGAGTAAAAAAGGTGGTAAGAAAAGAAGGGTAAAAAGTGAAGCCCCAATTTACCTTTTAAAAGGTTCGGGTAAACCTCTTTCTCTCCTCGTTGTCAAGCATTCCAGGCCCGTGTCTAGGGACGAGCCTGTCTATTTTCTCTCTCTCACATTCTATCCTCTTCGTCGAGCACTCCAGACTCGCGCCTAGGTGCAGGCCCGTCTATTTTCTCTCTCACATTATCCCTCGTTCCCGTCAAAGAATCCAAACCCGCGCCTAGGCACGAGCCCATCTCTTCTCCTCTGCTCATAATTTCTCATCTCTCTCTTTCATCTCGCTAAAACACACAGACCCATGCCTAGGGCGGGTCCGTCACTCGTCTCTCACATTTTATCTCTCTTTCATTCCCCTTAAACGCGCGGACCTGTGCCTAGGGTGGGTCTAACACCTCTTCTTACCCTGATCATTTTCATTTTTTTTATTATTCTTTTCACTGTCCATGTTCTCTCAACTAACCTACACGAGCTCAAAGCTTAACCATGAGCTCAAGACACACTTGTGCACATTAACACAAGGTAAACAAAAGAGCTATGCTCTTTATTCTACCTACACACACTATCCCCCCAGCAGGTAACTTTGAGTTATATGAAGCCCATAAACTCTGAGCTCAATAGCCCCCTTTTCAAACCCTCAGTACAATCCATGAACCTATTAACACAGTATAGCCTGGGTTATGTCTAAAAAGTTTTTTGATGGACTCTAAGGATGCTTTTATCCTTAATGTGCCTAATCCCTAGTAGAGACATATCCTTGATATGCTTGATCCCCAATAGAAATATATTGAGCATTGTTATATGGATATTCTTGTCCCTAGCATGTTCAAACACCACTGGAGATACGCATCTTTGCATAAAATTCCAAAATTATGGTCAACCTTATCAGTTGGTTGATGTATGGCTCACAAAAACCACAACTACCACTATAAATATCTACCTCTTTACCCAAGAAATTACCCCTATCATAAACCATCCTATTCACTTCAAAACTCCATCATCCCCATGGAGTTGTACCAAACATACCCTACTCATTGAACCTTCATGAGACCCCATGAGTGATACATGCTGAAAGAGTCGCAAAAACCCTTGATGGTCCATCATCCCCAATGGGCCACTACTTCCAGTGGACTATCAACCTCAATGGATCATTAACCCAAGTGGTCCATCAACCTAGTGGTCGATCACTCCAATGGTCCATCAACTCCAGTGGTCTGTCACTCTATTAGTCTATGATCCTCAGTGACGAGTTATCATCCCCAGTATGTCGTTACCCCCAGTGATGTAGATACACTATGACTAGTCTTTAAAATAGGTTGTACCCTCATCACTCAAGGAAGCCTTTCAAACCCCAAGGAGGTAACCACTTCTTTACCTTGAAAACACATTTTATCCCCAGGAAGTTTTTTATGCATAAGTTATCTAATGGGCTACTTAAAACCCCCATACCCAACAAGTGTGAGTTATTCATCACCTTGAAGAAACATCTTTAGTGGTGTACACCTCCCTAATAAAAGTCTCACCCATGCTATTTGTTACCCCAGTGAGCGTTGTACAGTTACATCCTATGCATCGTCAAGGAAGAGGTTTTTCTCTTCGAAAGAAAGACGGGCATGGCCATGAGTACAAGTTTTCTAAAAACAAAAAAACCAGGCATGGCAAAAATCCGAAAGGGTACCATGAGTAATAATGGAGATAAAAGGTGGTTGTGACCTCAAATTCATGGGTAAAAGTGCCTCAATAAAAAAAAGAAGGTGAAAACTATTATACGATGCCACTTTTATCCAGTTCAAGTAAAAACCGAAAGGGCGCTTGCACTAATAAATAGGTTGATGCAGCATTCGACCAAGGCGGCTTCAACCAATTACAGCAAAAAGTTTGATGGTTTAGGAATCAATATCTCTCATGGGTACCTTACCATCGAAACCAAGAAGAGCTTAAGAAAATCCAGCAACTCAGGTCTGCCTTGTTGAAAGGCTCCTGAAGATCAGAAGAATTATCAAGATGACAAATCAGGATAGCCATTTGTTGAAGAGATTCTCCAATCCAAGACCTCAATCAAAAACATGAATAGCTTGTTGACAATTCGGGATAGAAGTTCTCATAAGGCAATTAATTGCCTAGCCTTGATCGATGCCTTGGTTCCGAGGGTAATCGTCTTACTAAGGCTCCCATTGCTAATAGGTTTAGACTTTCAGGACGGCCGCCAAAGAGCCCCTGACTAAGCCCAATATATTGGGTGTAAGCCCCCAAAGAGACCATCTTACTAAGGCTCCCATTGACGATAGATTTAGACTTTCAGGACGGCCACTGAAGGGCCCCTGACTAAGCCCAATTATGCCCCCAAAGAGATATCCTATGTGCCATCAGTCCAACTCCTGGTGAAGCAGTTTATATGATCTATTAAGGGCTCTCCTAGGTTGTCTATCTAAAGCAAAATAGACATGATCAAAGGTTTAGTATTGTAAGGACTGAGATTTTCCAGCATAGTGAAGTGCGTGACTGTAAGAGGACAGCAGTGTGTGGCACTGAGGTGCCACCGTGCGCAGCGGTAAGCAGCAGTAAGAAAAGAGCGCACGTGGTAGTGTGAGCGTGCGACAGTGAGAGCGCACGGCAGTGTGAGAGCACGTGTCAGTGTGAGAGCGCGTAGCAGTATGAGAGCGCGCGGTAGATGAGCGCACGTGGTAGTGAGCGCACATGACAGTGAGAGTGCATGTTAGAGAGAGCACGCGACAGTGTGAACGCGCACGGTAGTAAGAGAAGAAGAAGGCAAAAAAGCGAGAGTGCATGGCAGAGAGCACCGCCGTACCGCCGTGCGCGTGATGCCGCCGTGTGCAACCCTGCACTGAAGTGCCATTTGTCTTCTGCATGCTGCCATGCATGCCACTTGTCCAATTGCATGACTCTATGAGTGCCACTAGGAAAATTCGGGCTGCCACCTCCCACTCTTGGCCTATTTAAACCCCCTTTATTTCCTTCCCTCGATCCTTTGTTCTTTCTCTCACTCTTGAGAACCCCTCTCAACACTTAGAGTTTCACCCTTTGGAGCCATTTTTTAGGAGCTTGGGATTGACTGTGTTGGGAATTTGGGACACATTTAAGCATTGTAAGTGGATCTAACACTCATGTTTCCTTAATTTTGATTGAAGCATGAAATTAAGCATTGAATATGTATGATTTTGAGGGGGTGTGGCTGCATGCTAGTGAGTTTATACTTGTTTGTGCCCTAGTTTTACAAGATTGTAATCCTCATTGGCATGATGATTTGAGCACTAAAATTAATTTTGTTGGTTATGAAAATCTATTAAAAGGTAACCCTGTGTATCTAATTAAGATTAAAGAGACTTTATATTGATGTCAATTGTAGTTTTGAAGTTTTGCTGTGACATTCCAGGAACTCTACACGATTTTGCACTGAACTATTCACTATTAAAATAGTGTCCAAATGACTTAAAACTACCTTTAATTGAAATATGGCCGTATCTATTCAAATTTAGTCTTGAAACTATGTTCAAATTCAGTATGGTTTGGAAATTGTACCCTTGTTTGTATGGACATGTCACTGTTATCAGTTGCAGTAATTTTCAGAACTGTTTCTCATTTTTTCACTGAATGTTTCACTGATCAAATGGTGTCCAAATGACTTTAAACCACTTTTAAATGAAATATAGATGTGTCTACTTAAAATTTTCTTTTGAAACTATGTCGAAATTTCTCATAATTTGGAATTTATAGCTCTATTTGTATAGACATGTCACTGTTTTCAGCAGCAGCAGTTTCCAGGACTGTTGCTTATTTTGTACTGAACGTTTGACTAATCAATTAATGTCCAAATGACTTCAAACTATTTTTAAATGAAATATGGGTATGGCTAATTCAAGTTTGGTTTTAGAACCATGTTGAAATTTTTAATAATGTGAGAATTATGCCCATGTATGCGTGCATATGTTACTGTTGTGAGTTGCAGTGGAATTCCATAATCTTTATATATTTTATGAAAGACTGTTCACTGACCAAGATGTCTTTGATTAAGGCTAAACCACTTATAAATGAAAATTGGATGAGTTATTTTTAAGTTGGATCTTGGAACCATGACTAAAATCCCCATGGAATGGAAGTTAGGCCAAATCTTTAAAAGGCCTTCATAATGAAAATTATGTTATTTTATGAATTATTGAATATGCATGCTTATGATACAGTGAATGCTCATGAACTCTTGAATAATTGTAATAAGACATGCTTGGGCATGAGTGAATGATTATGAGATATGCATGTGTATAGTTATACTCTGATACGATAAGACTGTGATATGAACTACTACCCAATGGGACATCCATTAGTAGTGGGAATCTGATATGATAAGACTATGATATGAACCACTACGCAATGGGACATCCATTGGTAGTGAGAATCTGATATGATGAGACTATGATATAAATCACTACGCAATGGGTCACCCATTGGTAGTGTGACATTAGACTCTGTGAATTTTGTATAAGGCACTATGCAACAGGTCACCTGTTGGTAGTGTAATAAGTTAAATATGATAAGAAAGTTATGCCGGTAGTTAAGATCTTGCCTTGACCCCAAGGATAGGAATGGAGTCGGGACGTGAATGTGAATATCTGAGAGGGTCGTGCCCCTCGGATCTATAGAAGAACTACATATTGGGTCACCTATTGGTAGTGTAACGCCCTTTCACCTAAAAGGCATAATGAGAGGGTCGTGTCTTGCAAGGCCACAACCTATCAAAAGCCCCAAAGCGTATTGAGAATTGTGTGTGTGTGTGTGTGTGTGAAGACATTACGAAATGGGTCACCCATTTGTTATTGTCTTCCCTTCTGAGTGAGAGTAGAAGTTCCAAGTTGCAAGATTAGCTTGACCAGATCAATAGAACTTCTACTTTGGGAGTAGGTGACACTAGGATTACCTGTATGCTTTGTGTATTCTTTCAAAGACTCTAATATGTCATTGTGATAAAAAGATGGGGTAACTATTAGCTCATGTGATATGCGATATTCGGATATCTGATTTACACTTCTTCCACTACTGCTAAAGAATTGTGATACATACTCCATGTTGTGACACCTGCATAAATTTTGGGCAATGTTTATGAATATTATTGTATAGGCCGAAATACATGGTGTTGATTTGCTTGTTGGGCTTCATAGCTCGTCCTTTTAACTTTCTCTATGTAGAGTAACTACCTACAGTTTTTGAAAGTGGGCAGCTGGGCACTCGTGAGTGGCAGTTGAAGTTTCAAGTTTGGCAAGAAAGTTATATTCCTGATAGTAGGTGTTGGTTGGCGGTGGCCATGTAGTTGTTTTGTTTAAAGAATTGTATTTTATGGTTGGGATTGTAGTGCCTTGGACATGTTTTTAATTAAATTTTGGAATCTGTATATATATAAATTTCTATCCAGTTCTTATACATTTGTGTTTGGTTTTTGCTTTCTTTCGTGGTTTTCTTTGATTCCGCCTTCTAAAGAGTGTTGAGTGCACTCACACCTGAGTGACATTCACTACCTTGAATATCGGTCCACACTTTGTTGCCCTCCAGCATCTACGATAGGAGTCAAAGGGTGGGGTCGTAACAGTTATGGTATCAGAGCAGCCGGTTAGGATTCTTGGCCTAGAGAGTCTTAGAAGTATCATTAGAATGATTTTTAGATATGCTAGTAACAGGATGTTCCTATTTTAGGTCAAGATGACGAGGATTCATGTCAACAATGTGAGTTCTAGCAATGAGAACACC